GGGAAGGAAACCATAGCATGTATAACACAAATAAAAACCTCTGCTCAGTGGGAGTGACCCAAGGTAGACAATATTAATACAAAAGCCACAGCCGCCACTCAGCCTGATCAGGATGACAGCATCAAAGTCAGGCACAGTGGGGTACACTTGTGGCCCCAGAGAAAGGATTAGCAGGGTCACTATGAGTTAAAGACCAGCCTACCAAGATTTTTTTTTTTTTTTTTTGGTTTTTCAAGACAGGGTTTCTCTGTCTTGAAGCCTGTCTTGAAGGCTTTGAAGCCTGTCCTGGAACTCACTCTGTAGATCAGGTTGGCCTTGAACTCACAGAGGTCTGCCTGTGTCTGTCTCCCAAGTGCTGGGATTAAAAGTGTGCACCATCACCACCCAGCCCAAGACTTTTTCTTAAAACAAGTCAAGAATAAAAAATGTGACACCAAGACTTCATAGCCAAGCCTGCAACAGAGCAGTCACGAAAGAGCCTGGTCAACATGGTGAAGTTCTGGGCGAAAGCTAGATAAACGGGGCTTCAACAAGGCCTGTGCGGTCCCTGGTCTGGTGTTAGAAACACGTGACGACTTCTCCAGAGAATGTATGAAGACATTGCTGTGTGTGTCTTCAGCGGTGAATATTGTTTTATAGTGGGGATCCCTCTGCCCCTCACATCTGGCCCTGAGTCTCCAGAGCCAAGCGGGGCTCCTCCCAGTCCTCTGCAAAGCAAAACTTGCTGGTGTCCCTCTTGCCAACCACTCCAGGGTCTCTGGAGTTCTCCCTTCGCCATTTCAACTGCTTCGGAATTCTCACGTGGACAAGCAGCTCCCTTCTCTGCCAGTTCCAAGGTGACTGTCTCCAGATTTCTCAAGTGGATCCCTGCCCCCTTCCCTTCACATTCACCTTTGATCTACTTGGTGCTATTCGCTCCCTATTTTGCTGAAACAATCACTGTCTTTGTAAAGGTGCTTAAACCAATAGTCAGTGAGCTTAAAAATAAAAATGCCTTGTAGTGTACAAGATGAACATTAGTAATTCATCAATATTGGTTCCTCAACTGTAAGAAAGAAAGACACCACACTAATGCAAGATGTAATAATTAAGTAAATTTCCGGGGACAGAAAAGGGTTCATGGGAACTTCCTACTTTCTCACCAGTTTTCCTGAAAATCTTAAACTGCTTTTTAAAAAAGTTACAGCATCATAATATGAATATTTTTATGAACTATCATCGTCCATGAACACCTTTCTTGGGACTCAGCTTGGACAGGCAAAGGTAAGCTAAGATGGCAACGAAGAGGTATGTTAAAAGGTGAGGTTGTAGAAAGGTAAGATTCAGAGGCTGGGAGAACTTGAGAGCCAGTATATGGAGATTTCAAGGGCCTACGTGGACTAGGGCCCTAGAGTCAGAGATGTCCCACAAGCTGAAATGCTGAATAGGGTGGGGCACTTCTGCCCCTGCTCAGGATGTCCCAGCCACTTACTGACAAGAGATTGTCATGATAAGATGGAGCAAAGTCAGGAAATGAAACATCATGCATTGAGCGCTGTGTTCTGTGTGTCTTATGACCTCCTCTTTCCAGGATGGAGTGGTGGGGGATGGCAGTGAAAAGGTTAAGTATTTCTGGGGAAGACAATGTTTCCTCAAAATCATCCACCACTCCTGCCTCTTACAGTCTTTCCACTTCCTCTCCCACATAGACGCCTGAGTCTTGAGTGAAGGGTGTTTAATAAAAACATCCCATTTAAGAATGAGTTCTCCAAAGTCTCTCACTCCCTCCACATTAAGCAGCTGGGGATCTCTTTGTTAAGTACCATCTACAGCAGGGGCTTGAGCGGTGCCCTGATTTATGAGTATTATAAATTCATGGGTGTAACATGAGGGGGCCGGCTTGTTGGGGTTTCCGTCCCGCCCGGTACCCCACAACCGGCAAATCCCAAAGAGAAATCACACACAGGACTCCATAAGGTTATAAACTGATTGGCCCATTAGGTCAGGCTTCTTGTTAACTCTTATAACTTATGTTACCCCATTATCCTTATCTACATTAGCCACATGGCTCCGTATCTTTCTCAGCTGGGCAAGTTACATGCTGCCTCTTCGGTGGTCTGCGCAGAGTGACGGAGGGAGCTTTCTGTGTCCCAGAATACGCCCAGTCTCTTTGTTCCACCCCTACTTCCTGTCTGGCTTTCCCGCCTATACTGCCTGCCTGGCCAATCAGCGTTTTATTAAAATATGATTGACAGAATACAGACAATTCTCCCACAACACATGGGTAGCAATATGTGGGTGGGGAGGATCTGAAAGAAGTTGGGGGAGAGGAAAGAGTATGATCAAAATATATTCTATGAAAAAATAAAAGAAAATAAAAGCACTGTTGGGGATCAATTGCCTGATTTTGCCATGAAATAGGAGCCAGTTAACAACATGGAGGAGGGCATGGGAAGAACACACTCCATCGTAACCTGGGAAATATACATATTAACTCAGGTTCCTACCTGAGCCAGTCAGTTCCCTTCAGACAGGCCTCCCTCTAGAACTCCCCATCCCCTCCTCCAATCCATACTCTGTGAATTTCTGCCTAGCTCCCCGCAGGCAGAGAGGATGCCTGTTGGAAGGCCCCTTGATCTTTGTGGATGCTTCAGGAAAACACCTGTAGAGTGTTGACTCAGCGAGCCTGGGCTTTGTGTTTCTCCACTTAGAGGATCAACTAAGGGCTGATCTTCCTTCCTTTAGGCACAGAATCACCACTGAGAGGAGGAATGACACACACACACCCATACTTTTTCCCACCCGGCTTTTCCGCATTCTGCTAGCAGTGAACACATTGTACTAAACACTGGGGTCCTATGAGAGGAAGCAGCTCCCATTACCACTTCCTCTTGACTTTATGGGATGGTGATAGATCCTGGCTGTCCTTATGAACCAAAGGTATCCCAACCCTGCCTCACACCACATCACAAGGAAGCCCAGGACTTCCTGCACTTGCTTTAGCTCTCCTCTGAGGTAGGCTAGCAGGACGCAGCAACATGCTGCCTCTTTTCCTTTCTGCTTGCCAGTTTTCATTTCCTGGTCCACTTCCAAATCCTTGCTCATCCATGCTGAGCATAGGATCCTCACCCCCACTGCCTTGTTTCTATCTCCAGTCTCTGTTCTTCCTGGATCCAGCTCCAAGGATTCGGAGCTTTCTCAGATACCTTTTTTCTTGCTGCTCCCAGTTTCAAGAGCGCCTGCTTCACACCTGTGATGAGCAGCTCCAGGCATCTTTCCTCCCCATTCCTCCCCAGCTGAAGTCTCACTGCCTCCAGCTCCTGAGTTCCAGACAGACACTTCCATGGTAACCTCCACAAACCAACTCCTTCGAGGGCTCTCCAACTCTTGATTCCCAGCTTGCTCCTCCCCCTGAAAGCCCAGGCTCAACAAACAGTTCACTGGCAGGTGATGACAATGACAGCCGAGAGACAAACTGATGATTTGAGAAGCAAGTGAAGAACTTGCAAAAGGAGCGAGAATAAGCACCCACAACGAAGAGTAGCTAAAACCGCATTTGGCTGGTGGTGTAAGGAATGAAGTTTAGGAAAAGGAAGTTTCTCCATATACAAGTGAGCATGCGTCTCAAATTATCAGTATACAAGTGAGCATGCGTCTCAAATTATCAGTTCGTCTCTCTGGACTATCATTGCCATCACCTGCCAATGAACTATTTGGTTTTGCTTTCTGGCTTTTTGAGACAGGGTTTCTCTGTGTCACCTCAGTTGTCCTGGAACTTGCTCTGTAGGCCAGACTGACCTCACATTCAGAGATTCGCCAACCTCTGCCTCCCAGGTGCAGGGATTAAAGGGGTGCACACCACTGCCCGGCAGAACTATTTTCTGTCTTTAAAAACACACAAAGACCAACCTTGTAGGGCAGTTGATCCCTTCCTCGCTGCCCCTTGCTCAGTAGTGCACTCAGTAACCCTACAAAAGAAAGCAGCCTTCGTGGGCCCCACACCCCTTCCATTGTATTTCTATGAAACAAAAACCCTCAAAAGAGTTAATTATATGTGTTGTCGCCAATTGCTTTCCTGTCAGTTGGCTGCCAAGTCTTACCTGTTCCTTGAGACTCAAGGTCTCGAAACCATGAAGGATCTCTGTATTTCTCAGGGTGACAGGCAGCGCCAAGTCCTCATGTCACCACTAGACTGGCTGCTCTCCAGCTGACGGATAATGTTCTCCTCGGGCCATTTTCACTCCCCAGCTTCAAGGTCTCTTCTCTCCTGGTTTCTCTCCCCGCCTCAATGACTGCTGCTTCCTAGTGCCTTGGGCTCACTCACTGGTATCATCAGGAATTTTCTTTTCTCTTCCTTTCTCTTCTTTCCTCCCTACGATCCTTCTTTTCTTTCCTTCTAACTTCCAAATGACTTTATCGAGTTTTTAAATTACATGAAGTGTTCATTTGGGTGGAGCCGACAGAATAAGTAAATTGTAAAAGGGAGCCATCAACGCAGAGACAGCCTGAACACTTTTTCGGGGAAAGGCAGGTTGCACATTTCTTATTTCAAGCCTGACTATACTTTTAGTTTATCTTATACAAGGGCCCCTCCCTTTTCAACACAAGTCCCTCTACCCCTAGGAGTCAATACAAAAGGCAGGCTTAAGCACCTATACCACAACAAGAACATTATCTACTTTATCGCACACAGTAATGAACACAAAGAAAAATACCAGTGTTTTCGCTTATAGGCAGAGTATATTTGGAGAATACCATGCCTCACTTAGACGGCAGTGGACATGACGGTTGTCAGCCTTTGTCAGGGAAGGTGCAGAGCTTTGGGAACCTACAAACTCTTTCGGCTTGAAGTGGTTGGTCCTCTCTGTGCTAACCAATGCCTTCTGATGAGAGGAGTAGCTGCTCCTGCTACTGATTTTCTAGCTGGGTGACACAAATCAGCTGTGGACAATTTTCAAGGCAGTCGTGGGAGTAGCCATGAGGCCCAGGGTTGGTTGGGCCGAAGTGGGTGTTGCTGGAACTGGATAGGCACTGTAGGAATCGACGCAAGTCAAATGTTATTCTTGGCACAGAGAGGAGTGGCCTTCGGGTCTTCTGTCATTCACTTCATGTCGGCTCCCTCCGTGTGGTCTCTGACAGGAGTCAGGCTCTTTGGGGGCTCTGCATTCTTGGGTTTGGCCTCTGTTTTAGACTTAGACAGGGCAATGGGTTCCTCCAGCTGTTCACCGTTAACTTCAGGGTTAACCCAGTGGGAAAAGAACGTCATCTTATTTTCCTCTTCGGCTTCTGGGGGTTCTGGAAAGGTGGAACTCCAGTGAGTATAGTCTTCCCCATCAGACCCCCCAACTCTCAGCCCTACCAAGTTTCACCCCTACAACATGGCCTGGAAGTGGAAGAATTCCACTTTGAAATTTTTCTATTTAAAAAATGAAGTCCCACAAATACTGGGTCAGTAGATGATGGCCCAATAAGTTCGCATTGTAAGGTCTGGCCTTGTAAGAACTGGGCACCCCAGGCTGGGCATCCCCAGGGACCACTGGGTGAAATAAACGTGGGTTTAGCCTAACAGATGTGCAGAACATTTTTATCTGTCCCAAGGAATCCTGAAGGATGCTCCGGGTACCAGCAAAGAAACTGATAAAAACCGAGGGGCTAGAGATGGTAGCTTTACCAACAGAGGTAGAGCTCTCACCTCCTCTCACCGGTCCCTCTCTCCACTGAAAGCAACTTGCTTAAACTAAAATTCTACCCAAGAAAGATCCCAATGAGCCCGTGGGAAGGAAAGCAGCCCTGGGGTTCTGCTTAGAAATCTTCTATTGGCCCATGAACCTCAGCAAAGTGTCTGCTTGGACTCCACTAGGTCCGCTGTTTTCCATGCTTAGGTAAGAACTCGGCTTCACTCTGGTCTAAGGGATTCAGGGAATCTTCTGGTTGGATTATTCACACTGGTCCCCAGCTACACACAAAGAACCTGGGTGTCTATGGTGTCCCAAGTGACTGTGAGATGTCAGAGGCACAATGGGCAGAACCTTAGGGCTCTCTGCTCAGAGTTCAGCTGGAAATTCTTTCAAGCAGACCCACGCTAGATCTAAGGGGTGTGGGGATCCTGGGGATAGGACTCTTGGAGCCGTGCTTTTCTTTACTGGCTTAGATCCCCAAAGGTCTCCAGTGTGGAGATATTCTTTGGACAAAAGGTGTCCCCTGTCCTCCTATCTGAATGGGACTTTTCCAAACATATCGCTAGGAATTTTTTTTTAAAGTAGAAATTTAGTTTGGAAATGATAAGAGCTTTGAGTGATTAAGGAATGTCAGGATCATGTGCTCAGTTGTACTTCAGCCTGGAATACATCTCTGGTTATGGCGTACTGGCGCTTGGAACATGTGGCCAGAATTTAGCATGCCACTATTAAGGTTAAAACTGAATTAGAGATTCTAATGGGCTCAGGACTCATCTCTGTGAATGTGTATTAGCTAAAACTGCCCGGGTAATAATAGCCCAGAGAGAACCACAAAATAGCAGGCAGCCCTGGCAGGAAAGCAAATTTGTTTCCAGTTCCTAAATGTCTGTGTGAGACAAGGCTTGGGCAACTTAGGGCCAGCAGTGACGATGTCTGGAGAGACTGTCACTGCTGGCCAAGGCCTGTCGGTGCCAAGCAGTCTGATCTGATTACTATCTGTGTGGCTCAGACTTGTTTTCCAGGGAAGAACAGAACCAAGTTGCTGTCAGAGCTCCTGGGGGTACTGTAGACAGTGACTTTCAGTCTCAGAAGTTAGGGACGCGGGCATGGTGCTCTTGGGGGTCTTCCCTCTGTGGGCTCTGCCACAATGTTTTGGTCTAACCAACCAACTGTGGACTGGCCCTGTTGCTGCAGTAGATCAGTACAGGCCATCATTCTCAAGGGTTCTGGCCGAGGAAAACGTCCCAAAGATCGGGGTGGTGCTGCTTAGGGCAGGCGCTGCTGTTCCGCAGGGGCTAGAAGCAGCTGGTCGGACTGCTGAATCTTTAGGGACCGGTTCCAGCGATAATAAAATCAACCCGCTGTTTCAACCGCTGCTGGAGGGAGAACTCCAGCAGGCACACTCCAGGACAAGGCTGCTACCCTCTTGAGGTCGGAAATGGCCTTTCATGAGGCAGATGCCTGGATCTGATGAGACAAGCTCTAACACATCTCAGGGTTTATACGTTACATGGTTCTCTGCATCTACAGAGCTCTCTGGAAGAGAGGCAAGTCCCTCTGAGGCTACCACTGCCATATTCACAGGTGCCACGCCAGGACTTCACCCTTGGCCCAGAATTGGGACATTAATCTGGGTTTGTCAATGGAAATGCCCAAGTTTGGGAAAGTGGGGAAGAAACTGGTAATATCTGAAGTGTAGGAAATTTTAGGCAATACAGACATAAAGGAGTAATTGAATAAGAAAGGTTATAACTCTCCTGTTGTGGAAAGATCCCTAAATGCAAACTCAAAATCCACTGTGCAGAAGATGAACTACAGAAAGCGACCCAGCGATGGCACACTGAGTTTCAATGTGACCACGCCACCCCAAACACACACTCCTTCAAGGCCATGTATTAAGACCACTTAAATATAACAAGAACTTTAAATCTTTGAAGGAAAAAATTGAAGAAGACACCAGAAAGTGGAAAGATATCCCACGTTCTTGGGTATGTAGAATTAACATAGTAAAAATGGCAATCTTACCAAAAGCAATTTACAGATTCAACACAATGCCTGTCAAAATCTCAGCAAAATTCTTCACAGACCTCGAAAGAATGGTACTCAACTTCATATGGAAAAGCAAAAAACTCAGGATAGCCAAAACAATCTTGTACAATAAAAGAACTTCTGGAGGCATCACAATCCCTGACTTCAAACTCTACTATAGAGCTACAGTACTAAAAACAGCCTGGCATTGGCATAAGAACAGACAGGAGGACCAATGGAAACAAATAGAAGACCCAGATATCAATCAACACATCTTCAAACACCTGATCTTTGATAAAGAAGCAAAAAATATCAAAAAGAAAGAAGAAAGCATATTTAACAAGTGGTGCTAGCATAACTGGATATCAACGTGTAGAAGAATGAAAACAGATCCATATCTATCACCATGCACAAAACTCAAGTCCAAATGGATCAAAGACCTCAACATAAAGCCATCCACACTGAACCTCATAGACGAGAAAATGGGAAGTACACTTGAACGCATTGGCACAGTAGACCACTTCCTAAATAGAACCTCAGTAGCACAGACACTGAAAGAAACAATTAATAAACAGGACTACCTGATACTGAAAAGCTTCTGTAAAGCAAAGGACACAGTCAACAAGACAAAACGGCAGCCTACAGAATGGGAAAAGATCTTCACCAACCCCACATTGGACAGAGGGTTGATCTCCAAAATATACAAAGAACTCAAGAAATTGGTCATCAAAAGAACAAATAATCCAATAAAAAAAATATTGGGTACAGACCTAAACAAAGAACTCTCAACAGAGGAATCTAAAATGGCTGACAGAAACTTAAGGAAATGTTCAATATTCTTAGACATCAGAGAAATTCAAATCAAAACAACTCTGAGATTCCATCTTACACCTGTAAGAATGGCCAAGATCAAAAACACTGACGACAACTTATGCTGGAGAGAATGTGGAGTAAAGGGAATACTCCTCCATTGCTGGTGGGAGTGCAAGCTGGTACAGCTGCTTTGGATGTCAGTATGGCGATTTCTCAGAAAATTAGGAAACAACCTTCCTCAAGATTCAGCAATACCACTTTTGGGTATATATCCAAAGGATGCTCAATCGTACCACAAGGACATGTGCTCAACTATGTTCAAAGCAGCATTGTTTGTCATAGCCAGAGTCTGGAAACAACTTAGATGCCTCTTCACCTAAGAATGAATAAGGAAAATGTGGTACATTTACACAATGAAGTACTACACAGCAGAAAAAAATGACATTTTTGAAATTTGCAGGTAAATGGATAGATCTAGAAAACATCATATTGAGTGAGGTAACCCAGACCCAGAAAGACAAATAGCATATATACTCATCCATCAGTGGCTTTTAGACATAAAGCAAAGAAAAACCAGCCTAAAATTTACAATCCCAGAGAACCTAGATAACAAAGAGGACTGTAAAAGAGACATATGTGGATCTAATCTACATGGGAAGTAGAAAAAGACAAGAACTTCGGAGTAAATTGGGAGCATGGGGATCATGGGAGAGGGTAGATGGGGAGGGGATTAGAGAAAAATATATAGCTCAATAAAATCAATAAAAGATGTCTTAAAAAGACTACTTAAACACAGCTAAAAGAAGGAGAGAGCAGAACCTAGGCAATGGGATAGAGTTGGAAACTACTCTGTAGTGGCCTTCTGAGGCTGCTAGAGTCGAGGGGATGGTAACCCATCCTCCAATGGTTGTTCGTTGTCGGGTTTCTGGTCTTTGAAAATATGGGAAGTGGTGAAGCGGTGTACTACAGATGTCCCCAGGAACTCCTCCACAGAACGGGGGAAAGCTCAATGTGAGAATGTATGCATTTATGTCTTCCTATACTCACAGGCACCTTGCCACCTTTGGGACATACGAACAGCAGGTGACAAGAATATGGGATCATAGGGTATTGTTTCAGGTTCAGGAAGCAATGGGTACCCAGACAAAGAAGGAATCTAATACTCAAGGGCTGCTGACCTTCACTCTTCAAGACAAGCTTCGTGATTTTCTTCTTCTTTTGCTGGTTTGCAGGAACCCCGGGTTCTTCCACACTTGAGGAAGACAGAGAGCCTGCACCCTGGGACACATTTGACCCTTGAGGCTCCTGTTTTTGCCGATGATCAGCATGGTAACATCGCAAGTTGGCATCACCGGTTGATGGGGCAGATTTCTGATCTGTTGACTGTGATGGTGTGAGGCTGGATGCCAGTGAAATGTCCCTGGAGTCTTGGGAACAGAACTCTGAATTCTTGTCAAACAACACTTTTGATGAAGCCAGTGCCTCCAGGCTAGAAAAGTTCTGTGATGGTCTCAGCGAAGTCAGACAGGTCTCTTTGTTCTCATACCCCAGCAACTGCTGAATTTCCAGAGCCATCGCATTGCAGATGGGGCAGGAAGGGTCTGAGCACAGGAGCCGCCGGACACTTCCTTCCTGAGGAAGCCAGCCCTGGCTAGGAAGGAAAATGGCAACTATTAAAGACAAAGTCAGCATGGCGCCTGACTCCTTGGGAGTGGGGAAAGATCGCTTTCCCTCCTGCACCCTGCAAGTCCTGGTTCTGTGCCTCCAGGAGTCCTACCTCTCTGCTCCTCTTTCTGGGAAATTTTCAGGTGGTGAGGTCTGTGGCTGAGCTGAGGGTCTGGGAAAAGGTCTCAGGCAACCTGTCAGAGGGTACAGCCCTCAGAGAGGACTAGAAACCTGGGTCAGTTTTCTATCAACCTTACCGAGAAGCTCAACTAGAAAAAAAGAGCCAGGTAGATAAGAGGCACCGAGGGATTAGCTGATGGGCGGCATTAAGGACACCACCATGTGAGGTCAAATCAGTTTTTTTGGGGGGGCGGAGGGGGGAAATCTAAGAAACTTGGTGTCTGGTAAACAGTTTATCCAACTGAGAAACGAGGCCCTCACTCTAAGAACTGTGGGTGTCCCTGCTGCTGTCCCCAGCATCTCTTAGGAATCAATCCCATTCTATAGAAGTCCAAGGGAGAGTGTAAAATGGCTGACTGAGGGTGTCCCAGAAACCGGCCTTATGGAAGAGAGACCTTCTGAGGAGACGCATGTGTCTGTCAGCAGAATTCAGCCAGACCCAAAGCTCTGCCCTTGAAAGGATGTAGCTAGTAAGAGATGGGACAGTAATGGCTTCTTTATGCCAAACCTATTCTCTTGACAAAACTATTCTCACGACAGGAGCGCCACCATCCCTAGTCAACCCTGAAAAGTAGAACTACTCAGACCCTAGAGTAAAACAGGTGGCTTCTCCTTCTTGAGAGACATACAAACCCTCTCGGCCCTGGCAAACTTCTCAGCTTGGACTGAGACACTCCATGGTGTATCTCTCTAGTCAACAGCCCCATTCCCATCCTTTGCCCAGGCCAGCCTAAGCAATCATCAGAGCCAGGCTGGGACTTGGAAGACCACAGAGAGTAAGAAGAGTTCACCTTTTCATGACAGTGAGCAGCTTCTGCAGTTTCTCAGCTTCTTCCTTGGAGGTTCTCTTAGCTGAAGGAGGAGGACAGAGGGTTAGGCAGAGTGGAAAGTTGAGGGGGCAATGGATAAGCTGAAGGCCGCTGGGCGGTGGGGCACGCCTTTAACCCCAGCACTCAGGAGGCAGAGGCAGGCCGATCTGTGAGTTCCAAGTCAGCCTGATCTACAGAGTGAGTTCTAGGACAGCCAGGGCTACACCAAGTCTTGAGAAACAACGACAACAAAAAGAAGCGGAAGGCTTTTGAAGGGCAGGTGACCCACAACCCAAAGAGTAAATGCTCTGCGCATAGCTAATTGCGGCACTGTCCTATACCCAATTTCATTTGACCTTCACAACCACGCAGTTAGCGCCCGTTTTGTGGAGAACAAAGATGAAAGTAATGTGGCTTCCACAGGGCTTTAAAAACTCGCAAAAGACAGAATTAAGGATATTGGCTTCCCATCCTTGTACTTTATCTCAGGAAGGTCAGACGGAAGATGGAGCATGCCTGGTCTCTTTCCCACCACAGACATCTTCTTTGGTTGTCACTGGTTTATAGCACAGTCTCCGAGGGTTGGAAACACCTGACTCCTGGTGTCAGTCAGTGCAGAGGGCCAGAATCTGTGCAAACCTCACCCACAGAGGTAGGGAGTCAAAGAAACTGGGATTTACCTCTTGGTGTTTTATCTCTAGGCCTGTGCTTGATTCTTCGATAACACTTGAAAGACAAAAATATTAGACTATGAAGTAGAAACACCAACTTTTTTCATGTCTAAAATGAAACAAAATCCAGAAATAATGCCTAATCTTTTTCTGTCTTCCAGCCTTGCACTCCCCACCCTCCCTTTCCATCTCATCACCCTTGTTTCTCCCATTTCTGCCTCACTTCGAGACTCTTCCATACTCTATATCTTCCATCCCATTTCATAGACAAGCTCTGTGGTGGATTCAAGGGTCAAGCAGAAAGACAGGGCAAACTAAAGAACAGGCAACACCAGTAACCAAAGGGCTCTGTTATCCAAGATCCTAAATGTTCACCAACCAGAGCTGAACTGGGATCCAGTGAAGAGATCCTCATTGAAAAATAAAAATCAAGGGGTATGATAACCAACAGATGGTGAGGGGGTAAACTTCTCCTTATAAACAACATATTCAGGCCTGGTTAGTATTTCCCTACCTTGTGACAGTTCTTGTCAGGTCCCAACCTTAATCCCTGATAGCTCCTTTTCACATGCCAAATAATTAATGCAATAATGAAGATAGATCCATACGTATATATCGGGTATCCCACATCCCACAGAATAAAATTAGGGTTCAACATCACTCAACTTCCCTAGTCATCCCTCCCCCAGAATTCCATGGTGTTAGAATGCAAAGCCTCCGAATTCTAGAGTTTGGCTTTCTGCCTCACAGAAGACATACTCAGGCCATCAAACTACCTCACAAAGCCCTCCTGCTCCACCAAGCAAGCAGAGAATCAAAACCTTTGTCTAGCTTGGATAAAATTATGAGGTGGTTCAATATTCAGATGAGGATGTCGGTTGTCTTATAGGCTGCAGAGCCTGTGACAAAAGATATCACAGTCGCTGGGCGGTGGCGGTGCACGCCTTTAATCCCAGCACTCGGGAGGCAGAGGCAGGCCTGTGAGTTTGAGACCAGCCTGGTTTACAAGAGCTAATTACAGGACAGGCTCCAAAGCTACACAGAGAAACAATGTCTGGGGCAGAGGGGAGGTGGGAAGGCAGTGTAGGAGGAAGATGTCACATTCGCAGGTGCTATATACCCCTTCCTGCCTCCCTCCCTACTCTATGCTGTGACAGCTCAGTTCTGTGTTAATTCCGTGGTCTGGCAATTGTCTCCAGATAACTTGTGTCTTTATGCACAATGCATCCACTAAGCAAGACAGAGGCTAAGTCAGAGCAATACCAGGAATTCCATGTACTGGGGAGACAACTAAAACTCACACAACAGGCTTGGGCAGGAATTATAGTGCTAAATTTAATGTCACAGGTAATGACTGACAGCCAGTATTGAAAGGTTTAGGAAGAAGATCATGTAAAACAGGTCTGGGGAAAAAAAAACAAAAAACAAACCAAACCTATCTGGCTGCTGTACTTCTGAATATTTCTGAGAAAGGACTTACGCTAGGCTGTGCAACCTATCTGGAGAAGGGTAGGATGCTGGTGGAGACAGCCCCTTCCACGGAAGTGTAGGACAAGACTCGCTTTGAAAGCTCCAGTCCAGGCTCAATTCTTCATAATTGTCTCGCAGATCTTGTGGCACCTGGCCTATTCCTTTAGATAGGTTAGTGGCATGACTTTTGCCAAGGGCTCCCAACTAGTAAATCTTTGTTTGAAACCATCATGATTACGATATTTGACTGAAATGGTGTTTATGAACATCTGAATAGCCTCAGGCATAGCAAGATTTATTCCATTTGACCCCAGCAGGTGTAAAGCTTTGGCTTGAGCCCCAGCACCAAAAGAATATAATAAATAAATAAATGCCAAGAAAAGTTATTAAAATGATGAGTTTGTTTTATGCTAAATATATCATAGCATAATTTTTAGAATTGTGGTTATAGGACTTTTTAAACTAGTTAGAAGGAAGAATATTCTGGAAATTATTTGATGAATGGATCAGTGAGTGTTTTCCTTATGTGTCTCTTATCTACAACACAAAATCAATTTTTAGATTAAAGATGATTTACGGAAAGTTTCCATGTGAATATGAGATGAGTTTGAGCCATTTCAACATCTTCTATGAATTTGCAAATGTCGAAATGAGAAAGGAATGAGAAGTTTCTGCAAACAAAGAGTGCGAAACGGCAGATTAGCAAAAGCCAAGTGAAAAGCAGCGTGAAGGTTTGAATCTGGAATAACCCCACCGGCTCATATTTTGACTCTGGGAGGCTCTGGAAACCTCAAGAGGGGTCTAGCTGGCAGAGGCAGTTCATCAGGGCAGGCCTTTCCAGGTTATAGATCTTGGTCTGTTCCCCTTTCTCTACTTCCTGGCCCACCACCATGGGAACAACCACCGCTTCATGTTCCCACTGCCACGGGCTGCGCCGCTCCGCCATGCTTCCCCACTATGAAAACTGAAACTGTACATAAGCCAAGATAAATCTCACCCTCCTGTCTGTCAGATGTTTTCGTTCCAGTGACACAATTCATGCAGTCAGCATGTCGACCCCTTAGCGGCAGGCCCATGCGCCTAAAAGTAGCAGATTTCCTTAACTGATGAGAATCCCTACTCTGAAACTCAAAAGGTCCCAAAATCTGACTTTCTAAAAATCCTAGCATGATTCCACACATGGAAAATTCCATGTCTAATCTCACGTGACAGGTCATAGACAAAGCGCGGGTGCAGTAAGCAACCTTGGGTCGACATTTATGAGGTACCCATGAATTCTCAGTGATGTCGTGGTGGACTTTTGTATGTGCAAACATGTCTAAAAATCTCAAACCTTTCAGATAGTCAATCTGTATAACTCTTTTTTTTTTAATCCTTGAGCTCCTGGGTTCAAAATATCCTCTCACCCAAAGCCCCTAAGTCTTAGGACTGCAGAGGCACGCTGCCAGCACATCCCAACTGGGTTTTAGCCGGTTCAGTTGACAGGCTCTAACTTCCAACGGGGGTCTGCTGCCCTCTAGGCTACAATGGCAGATCTTGGGCTTGACTTCCTGACTTCTCTTTCCCAGGCAAAAATCAACAAATTCTGTAAACCTGCTCCTCCTAGTGCCCCATTTACTACACAGGTGACCCACGGCCGCTGTGACCTCATTACGTCACTAAGACTTCCTCTTGCGCCCTCCTCTCCATCGATACCCAGGGCAGGTGCTGCTCCTTACTCACTTGTTTCTTGGAAGCAAGCTTAAGGCAGATCCTGCTCCCGTTGTGATGCTGCAGTGCCATGGTGGCTGTCATCAGATCTCTCCAGGAAGCTGTTCGTGGCTGTAAGTTCATAGGTGCTGTGGGTCACATAGCCTTGTAAAAAAAAATCTGGAGAGACAAACCATGGGTATCAGTGTTGTCTCTCCAAGAAAGTCTTGGATTTGAAACAATGGTGACACCTGAGATGTTCTAAGGCTCTGGAGACAGAGATCCACGACCACTTTCACACACGAGCATCTTGGCTAATGCATTGCACACAGTCCAGTACCCACACCTTGAAACGAAAGAACCTCCACAGCGCCACTAGAGGGCAGCACAAGCCCACCTAACGATCCCACACTCCAGCAATGGTCCCACTGAAGAACGTTTTTACAAGGTCATTCTCTCCAGAGGCTCTCAGCACGTCAAATCTCGGGGAAGCTGTAAAAATATTTTTATTCGGGCGTTACTTCAGATAAAATGAATAAGAATCTATAGAGGGAGTATCTAGCAACTTATCATAAAGTAAATATTAAGATTAAAATCTTATGCAAAAGAGTACTAGGTTATTTAGACATAATCTAATATCAACTGACCTCCAAAAGGGTGAAATTTCTAGACTTGGATGAAACTATGTCCTATCTTTGTTCTTTTTTCTTTCTTTCTTTCTCTCTTTTGCTTGTTTGTTCGTTTTGAGACAAGGTCTCTCTAGGTGACCCTGGGTATTCTGGAGCTCACTATGTAGACCAGGCTGCTCTCAAACTTGTAGAGATCTGTCCCCTCTGCTCTCTCAGGTTGGGGTTAAAGGTGTGGACCATCACACCCAGCTTCTGTCCTTATCTTCACGCTCAGTTTCTTTATTTCATGTTGGGGCATGGACTTACTGTGGATATCTTAGGAAACCCAAGAAACTTGGTTAAGAAACTCCAATATGATTCACACCAGGCCAAAGAGCACAGCTGGACTATGGGACCTCTTCAAGGCCAGCGTCCTTTGTAGTCTAGGAAGTTATAGGAAATAACTACAAAAATAAAATGGGGGGGCGGGGGCTGCGGAGAAAGAGTGTACAAACTACCAAGGCCAAGAATGAAAGAGGTGACCAACTCAAATTCCAAAAATACTGAAGGGATAATAAAGTTGTAATACGAACATTTTAATGTCTATAAATTGACATCTAAGATTAAATGGACTATTAAGGCTTGAATATATTCCCTCAAAATACACATGAATCAGAAAGCTGACTGACAAGGCAACAGTCTTAGGAAGATAGGCCACTCTCAAAGCAGTTGTGGAAGCACATCCTGTCTTCAGTCCTCACAGCTGGGACACAGCCTCTACTCCCTCACCCTCACAGCTGGGACACAGCCTCTACTCCC